AACATGTCACGACCCCCGCTTCGCTATCATAGTAAATAAGCCAGTGTTTACTGTATACAGCGTTTCTATTTTTCTAAAGACATAACAGTTAAGTGGTCTTATTTCTGAGATATTGAGCGAATTCGATCGTCTCAGTTTTGTCCATTATCTGCCTAACATTCACATCATATCATAGTTACTTTGGCAATTTCGTGTTTTCCCGCTGAACCATCTACGCTTGAAAATATCTCCTTTTTGAATTTGCCAGACTAGCCAAACACCAAAGTAATGAAAAAACACTGTTAGACTTTTAACTACGTTATTACATTCGGGTTCTGAATAACTCTTGAAAGTAATTTACTATGGGAACGGATCTCCGTGGTTACCAGTTGATTACTCAACGCAAAGTGACTCAACTTTGAGGTAGATTAATGTCATGCTATATATTCTTCTCCTGTATGTTGCTCAATAAAAGCAGCCCCGTGTTTCGAAAACGGACTTGTGGTGTCTGATTATCATCTGTTTTATCCTGACAATATATTTTATGATAATCCATTTATGAAGCCCCCGTTAAAGATATAGATCATGGATTTCGGCAGTTGCGGTGTGTGTATTCAATTGTTATACTACTTCATCCGAACAGCATTCGCACTCATCTGAATGTTTTTAGTTTTCGAAAATAGTCAGGTTAATTTGGTTACCCTTTAAAGGAAGACAGAATCCGTCGACGCTCAGTGTGTTTGTCGCTCATATATTCTTCACTAAGCAGTTAATTTCAAGTACCTATTTTTAATAGTTGTTCTGTCATCCGAATGAGAAAATACATCAAGAACTTCAGTTGCTTTTCCTAATTGCATTAGTAGATCAATCCACATGAGTGGGAGCACCAAATGATAGCTTCTATGAAGTACTTACTGGGCTAGAAGCCTAATTTCTGATTACTGATCAATGAAAATCTTCGTCATCAGGTCAACACAGAGAGTTGGACAAGTGAAATATCACTTGGGGTTACTAATACACAAAGCCACAAACGATGTCGCTACTCAACAGAATTGTATGTATAATAAAGTAGCCTGTACATATGACAAAATACTTTGATAAAAGTCCTAGCGTTTTAGGTGTTTGAAAGATAACAGCCTCGGTCATTCGGTATCATCCGAACCACTGGTTATATGTGGTTTGAGATGTCAAATTAGTCATGGGACAGCCTTTTTTACAATAACCAAAGGTCAAATCAACAAGCCACATTTGTTACGATTAACTGTTGGTCTTTCGCCATCGTCAATTGTAAACAATTTATCAAAGTATTCCGGCAAAGCTTCAGCTTCAGCAACATCATTTCTTCCCAACATCGAAGGATTTTCTTGTACCGAACGTGGTGGGATCACAATCACCTTCATGAGTTCGCTTCTCAGGTCAATCAACAATCATTAAGCACATTGAAATCAATCCAGTATATCAACCAATCAAGAAAATTATAGACAAACATTGGAACAAATCCAAATCGATTGAAGATATATCCAAAACAAAGAAGTAAACAGTGACGGGTTTAAGGTCAACAAGAACTAATCAACACTGAGGTGTAAAGCACAAGCTGTGAATCACATATGGAGAAATTCGAACACCACTTCTAGCTGAAGTTTTTGCTGATGATGTCGTTCAGGAGAACGATGAAAGCTACATGACCAAACAATCCATCTTAGAGAGCAAAACTCCGTCAAAAACTGACCAGTCCGTTGTTGTAGCAAACTCCTGCATAACTGACAGGTTTGCTCCCCACACATTTGTGCGAGTTTAACCTGACCGTGTATTATATCAAAAGCCCGAAACACGATTGATAAAAACAACATGATCGCTGTTCGCTAAAGTCGAGAGAATATTTAGATTGGGAATATCCTCGGTTGCACTAGAAGTGAGTGACAATACACGTTTTACTAATAATTCTGATTGTTGTCAGAAGGAAGCCTGTACTTGAACATCACTACAGGAACTGATATGTATGTTCGTAGTAATGGTAATAACAAGTATCCAATTGACGTCTAAAAAACCTATAAAACAGGTCGTTTAAAATCATTTTAAGTGTGATATCTTTCTTTTTCAATTCAAACATTTAACTTGTTTTTGCGCAATTTCCCGTTGAAAGCTGCCGTCCTAAAGTAGTCATTAAAAGGGAAATAAGGGCGAATTCGAGGGAAATAAAGAGAAGTACAGCGCAAATAACGGGTAAATATCGATTTTCTGGAAATAAACATGGAAAGGTAAATAATCTATTGAAGACCGTTGATAACGGGATGATAATTATATATAGAACATAAATATGGTAGTAATAAATGGATTTTTGTTTAGTACTTCAATCATTTTTATTTTTTGTTTTAAAACATTTAATAAAAGTCCCGAAGTCACTGTGGCGTAAATGAGAACATTATGAAAAGTAATAATTTTTATTCAACAAGAGCTTTACTAACATTGTGTAAACTACATTACGTTCAAGGTTTATCAAATAACCATTAGAATGAAACTACATATTTAAAAGTACTTTCGCTTAGTTAGATATTAAGCAAGTTTACAGAAGTCAAACTTCTGGCTTTCGGATTTGAGTTATATAGTTTAAGTATTGGAAGCCTTACCACTAATTAATTTGTAGTGACTTATTTTTACCACGAGAAAACGATTGGTTTAATGAAAACAATTATTATTATAACCAATTGTACCAGTGACTGTTAAATGGGCTCTTTGTTTAACTGTGCTAATGACAGCTATATTGTGCTTCCGTTATTATTCTTACACTTTGATTGTGACCTCGCGCGAATTCGGTTACGCTCGGTAACCAAGCTCGTATACTGGCACGATTTCGGTATTCTTTTGATACCACTAGATCGCCAGCAAATATATCTCGACTTGGTTCATTAACTGCCTTCTGATATTTGGCTTCCGGGGGATTTTATGGATATCCTTGCACGCGTTCCTTTGTAGTTGTGTTCATAGTCAATTTCGACTCGACGCCACACTACAAATTTACATTTTTATGAAGTATATTGAAAGATATAAAATACATTTTAAACAGCTGCAGGACCAAGGCTCGGCATCAGTTCATGGAGTCATTTATTGTTGGAAGATTCAGACTACCTGCTTGGTGTCCGTAGTATAATGGAGATTAGTGGATGCAGACTTTGGATCACATGGTTCAAATTCATTAGCAATAGCATAGATGCATTCACTTCTTATCTTCTTCTGGATCAAAAATTCAAGTATTTCCTATTATATAACTTTTGATTCAGTATTTTAGAACCCTATTCTCAATACTTAATCCTTCACTTTTTTCTACATTATTCCGGTCCTTTATTGCAATATATCTTGTTAATTTCATTTCGTCATACCAATGCGGTATTACAATTCTAACTAGTGCACATCTGTCTTTGGCCTTACTTTAATGATTTTTGAGTGACATTTTAAATTTCTTGTCTATATTAGCTAAGTAGAAATAGAGATAACCTGAAAACGACTAAGAAATAAAATGTGATAATCAAAATATAATAAGATTTTATGATATAAAATAATCTGAATGAAAGAAAACCGCTGCTCGAACCGAAACAACAATTAAACTGTGACTTCTATAATAGAACTTATGACATCTTGTGTAAAAGGCAAAATTCATACATTTAAAAAATCATTTCATTTTGAATGTACCATTTTGAATCTATATAGTTTTAAATGAATTTAAGCTTAAGCATCAACTTTGAGGTTTAAGTAACTGGCTAGTTACACCATCCAGTGGTTTACATATGATTTAGGGGTACTTTCTTTAAGTTAAATAAATGATACATATTATTTATTGGAGTGTAAATCGTAAAAATTCCTGACAGTCATTTATATCAATTCACTTATTAAGTTTGTTTACGTTCCATCCTTATTCTCTCCCCATCAACACTTTTTTGTGTATTGTTTTATACTACTTATTAATATTTAGTAAATAGTTGTATTCCTAGCGAATTCTAACCCAAGTTTGTCTTGTAATCTAAAATTTTCACGTATACTTATAACATTTATTGTATTTATTATTGTGATTATTTACTCTCAAGCCCTGTAACAGTTATTCTCGATTTTGTATAGCGGTTTAATTTTTGTTCAAACACAACGGTTTCCACATTTGTCTGCTTTTTATTATTTGTTGAAAAACTGTGATCAAGATTAAACACAGCTATCAGATGTCATTTTCACTATCGTATTTCATAATTACAGGAAACCTTTTCTATTTCAAACTTACAGACTCATTAAGCTTAACAGATATCTCACGATTTGAGATTGGTAACTAATATATGTCTATTCTTTGATAAAGAATTTCTTTTTTAAACAAATCGCTGTTTTATGAACTTCGGTCTCGTGGGTATCTCAATTGTTTAATTCAACGTTTCGATAGATTCAACAACATCTGAAAGTATACAGAAACCTCATATTGGTATGAATATTTGTTAACTGTATTTATCTAACACTAAATATTCTATTAAATTAGATGTTCAGATAATAAGTTTTCCTTTTTTTTTATTAGCACTTAGGCAAGTTGATTTCTAAAACTGATTATCAGTCCAAAGATACAAAAAACCTAGTAATTAAAACGTTAACTGTTCTTTACTTAGAGATAAAGAAAACAAACATTCTTCCTAGTTAACGTGTACAATACATTCTTTATCACATGGTATTTATGATGAATGCAAAAAGATATTAAATCTCTTTTATTTTTTAAGTCTATTTTCATTATCTAACATGCATAGCTACTTTTAGTACTGTCACGTGAACATGGACAAGCATGACGACATAGTTCAGAAATGAGAAGAAATTTATTGACACTCATTGTAAAAAAATATAATTAGTTGATTATAAGGAGGTTGTAGGCTTCTCAATTGTAATCAATAATAGTTTCTTGGTATAATGGCAAAACATTGTCATTGATCGTAAGCTACTAATTATGTATATATATCAAGAATGTGTAGTTATAATTATTAATATAAATACTAAATCAAAATGAAATAATTTAGCTAGTAACAAATATACTTCGTTTGTGATATATAGTTTCTATTTGTTTGATTGTGACAGAACAATGTCCAGTCCAACTAAAAAAATTGAACAAATGCAACAACATGCAATTGAATTATCATTAGAAGCTATGAATTTATTCTCATCTCATGATGATATAGCTGATTATATTGCGAAAACATTCAAAGAGACATATTCAGGTTGTTGGGAATGTAAAGTTGGAACAACATTTGGAAGGTATGTCTATGACGATTTATCTAGTGTATTGATCTGATTAATTTAAAAAAATAACAATCATGTTCACAATTTTTCCGGTTAGTGTTCTTTTAGCGAGTTAGTTTTCTACGTCATGGGTTCGCTAACCCCACGCCCAATCTTCCGTCTTTATCCGGGCTTGGGACCGGAAGTAGCCCTAGAGGGGCTCTAGGCGTAGTTGATCATGTTCATACTAAAAGTTTAAAATATTTAGAGAACTTACACACAATAATATTGTTAGGAAAGATATGAAACCATGAAAAGCAATTATTATAAAGTTGTATGATTTGTGAACATTACTAACACCATGTAAGTATCACTGGAAATCATGGATCACAATGAAACCCGTTTCATCATAACTTAAGAATTTTTAACATTGAATACCCATGAATGAATACTAAATTGTCAAGTCATGGAGCATACAATACATTTTTGTATCAATTCGTTGAAAGTTAGTGGATTATTTTCTTGAGATGGTGGAGAAGATTTGTAGCTCAGGTGGATGATTTTGATGGAGTTTTTTTCTTTGAGCTGGATAGTTTGGTCGTGATCAAAATTATTTCCTTTCAATTTCAGATAACATGTCATTCAGTTTTTGAGTGTTTATTGCATTGGTAATTGGATAACTGATTACATAATACCTAAATGATTATCATAACTTAATAACTTTCACATCGATATCAATGGGTATAATATCATCATTATCAAATTAAAAAGTTTTGCCAGTAGTTCGTTGATCTTGCAAGATGTATTTATTATACTAGCTTATCAATGAAAACAAATGACGATCAAGTTAACTAACAAGTTTAGTAATCTGTCCCTCGAACTGTATGGTTTATTTACAAACACTTGGTTGTTGTTCAGAGCATATATAATGAGTCATTTTGGTCTATTATACTTAATTGGATTGAATTTCCCTTTTGAATGGTTGTCCTTCATTTATGTATATTATCATTTATAATGACGTATGGTAATTAAATTAATCGACCTTAGTCTTAATGGTTAACAGGTTGCTGTAATAATCGTGATATTATCAGGAGGGTTTTTGTGGATATTATAGTAATTTTAATAGTTGAGATCATGAGTCACATTCACGCTCAGTTTCGTGGATTAGTTGAAGTTACATATTAACATCGTTGGATGCCGGCTGGCTCAGTGATTTAGAGGTTAAGTGTTCATGCACGAGACCGATGGATCCTGGGTTCAAGTATCGCGAGGTGGAATCGTGGAGGTGCAGTGCTGAAGAGTCCCACAATAGGACAAAACGGCCATCCAGTAATTACAGATTTTCCATAGTGGTCTAGCTTCAATTGAATCATGATGTCAACTACTAATAATCCTAATATTATCCAGTTGCTTCATTCTTACAAATGATAAATCATATACATCATTATCAGTTCAGCTGCTAGAGCATTATTTATTGTTTATTATCAACATAGTAATCAATCCAAAACAATATTATTATTATTTACGATCTTTTTTTAATTTTAGCTTTGATACATGGGATTTAGAATACTGTTTTCGATATTTTGTGGACCAATTGGCATTCTTGCTGTACAAATCAAATTAATCTCACCTAAATCTAACTTGTGTAAATAATTCGGATCATATTGTACCTGTAAAAGTGTTTACATCCAACCAAATATATTGACAAGCATTTTATGCTTCTTCATATTATGTATCAGCATTGTAAATATTAATGTAAAGTAGAATAAAATTTTCAGGTAATCTGTAGTATTATATCTTTTTTTATATGATACATTTGTATAGTAACTTAATAAAACACTAATATCAGAAGGGGTTTGGCGGATCATTAGTCATTTGGAGCTAGACCATCATGGAAAACCTGAAAGCACTGCACGGCCGTTCCGTCCGATTGTGGAACTTCTCAACAATGCGTATCCACGATCCTGCCCTGCGAGGTTCGAACTCAGGATCTAGCGGTCTCACGCGCGAACTCTTGCACTCTAGACTACTGAACCAGTCAGCATCCAACAGTGTTAATTTGTAACATCAACCAATCCACGAAATTGAGCGACACATACACCATTATCTTCAGTGAGTTACTATTTCATTAAAGACCTGGTTGAACTCCACTAGTCACTGCTTCTCACTAGAACTCCAGGAAATATTTCTTGGAGACCTTCACCAGTGAGTATATGTCGGCTCATATCAGAAGGGGTTTTTGTGGATATGATAGTAATTTTTTAATAGTTAAGATCATGAGTCAATTAAAGATAGATCACTATGGAAAACCTGGATGTACTGAACGGCCATTTCGTTCTACTGTAGGACTCCTCAGCAGTAGGCCTCCACGATTCCACCTCGTGAGATTTGAACCCAGGACAATAATAATCTATAATAAACATTTCATGATTAAAGGAAGTCAACAGGAAAGGTTTATTATTAGAAACATATTTCTTGATGCATATAGTCAAGACATATCTGTAAATACAAAAAGAAGCGTTTGCTCCATGAGATATTAGCTGGACAGTTGTTTGACAAAGTGTCTAGAAGTTTAACCATTAGATAATCAGTTTATTCCTTGTAGTTATGTTTTATATTTACAAATTAGACGGTTCTTAGTTAGGTAGTTTTCCACATTTAATTCTAAACCTCATCATGAAAAAAACGTATATAAAACGTGATATTGACTTATTTTTAAAGTAAACTTTGCTAATGAAGGGAATAAGAACGAATCCTATATCAAAAAAGTTCAACTATCTCCGACAAAGTCATTTGATGATAATTTCACATGAAGTATATAAGGCGTTATAAATTATAAAATGTTTAGTGGCTAGCAGTGGAATCAAGGAAACTCACCTCGTCAGTTGGATGTACATACATCCCAGAGTTGATGTTCACTCCGGGACTTCGACTTAATACCGTTCGCTTAAAATGTCATCGCAATATCCACTTAACAAATAAGTTCAGATACCCACTAGCTTGTGCAACAAGGTGAATTTTTATTAATTTTGTATTGGTTAACTGAGTCTTCCGATTGATGTTGAGGACTTTAATTGATCAGTCACTTGTTGGAATGTGTATATCCTGTGAAGACTGTCTTGATATTGCCTTAAATCACAAGCATTTCAAGGAGAGATGCTTGATACACCTAGCTGACGAGTCCCAAATATAACGAAACGCACGTCCTTGATTCCACTGCTAGCCACCATCCATCTTTGCCTACAATGCTTGTGATTGTGGCAATCTGCACTGGATGAACACATGCCAATAAAAGATGGATTAACTGCAGTCCTAAATATCAATGGAAAAATTCAAACAATCCATAACTAAATGAATTCTAAAATGATTGTAGCGATCTGATCGAAACTGAGAAAACATAATCATTCAGGTTTTGAAATAGGTAAATATTTTCCTTTCTCTAAGTAAAACCCATCTCACTTACTGCTTGGACAATATAAGTTCACAAACATGATTGTAACTTTTAAACAATCAATGTGTTCATTGTTAGATGTTATTGTTTATCAGGTTTATTTGGAAAAGTATTCAAACTTGAAGTTATATAATGAAAATTCTTTGAACTATTCCACACACTTGGTTGTAGTTTCTATCAATATTAACATCCTATACATTTTATCCATATACTCCAATTAAATTCATCACAATGGTTCAAATGTCCTAAATAGTTTTTTTTCTAAACTGATAGTCATATTATACTATGAACATCATTTATAGTAAATGATAAAGGTGAATGGGCGAGACTATAATTTGTGGACGAACCAATCAGGTATAAGATAACAGGTCTCGGATTTTGGTGCGAAATTCACCCATCCATTTGGTTAAATAGAGTCTTGGCATTGTAGCTAATATCAGTTCGTGATGAAAACCTTAAATCTAATTTCTAACCTTAATCATCAACTATAAATCATAATTTTAATTCCTCACACTGGTTTATAACCCTCATTTGGTACTGATTATTAGATGAACACTCTCAAGGTCAGTCTAGCAGTGCAATAAAACACTGATAAAGTAATTGAATTCTTGAATATTTTAAGACCTTTTATTGTAGGTAAGTCTACCTAATTTAACTCAATGAAGACTTTTTAATACGAAAAATATCGTACCTAAACGTTTAAATAAAAGTAAAATCTTTGAATACTTTACATAAAGCTCATAGTGTGATGAACGCGAACACAAAAGGGGGCAGTCAAGTGTATTTGAACACAAAATCATAGAATCTCTTAATAAAATCTTAATTTGCAAAATGTCAATCAATCGTCTCAGACTTCATTGTTCTTTCGTTTCCGCACTAATCATTCTTTATTCTTGTTCTCTTTTCTTTGATCTTCTTAACCCTCTAGGCGTTTCACTTTTGATTGATAATACATACTATTTATATCTATCGACATCAGTATCACACACCACAATAGTGCACATAGAGAGGGAACATGACCATTATATCTTGAATAAAGAAAGTTTGATCAGTTTAATTAAATAGCTTTCTTGACAAGTTCATTATTTTTAAAACTTAAATTATTTAAGATAATTCTAAGTGAGGGAAATTAAATGAGAACAGGACTAATTTCACTAAAAATATCGCTAGATATGTCAAAAAGTCTGTCAATGTTAAATAATTTTTCTTATTAGATTGCCAGTGATTCAGTAAAGTATTATGTCATCTTATTGTCAAAGTAAAATTGTAAACTCATTGAAATGACATCAAATGAAACTTTTCAAATGAGTAAATAAGTTTTTGAGTGAGATCATGAACCGATTGATGTTAGACCAACACTGAAAACCTGGAAGCACTGGACGGCCGTTTCGTCTTATTGTGGGGCTCCTCAGTAGTGCGCATTCACCATCCCGCTCGCGGGATCCGAACCCGGGGCCTTCGGTCTCGCGCGCGAAAGCTCAACCTGCTGGACCACTGAGTTGGCATCCAATGGAGCTAGTGTCTAACATCAACCAATCCACGAAATTGCGCGACCATCTTCCATTGTACTGAGGTAGATACCTGTCTCTACCCGACATGGATTAGCTCCACTGGTCACGGCTTCTCACTAGAACTCCGAGAATTCCCTCACGAAGCTAGTCACTAGTGAGTACATGTTGATTACTAGTATAGGGCTTGTGGAGATTAATACGTTTTTGATTGAGATCATGAACCGATTGATGTTAGACCAGTTTTGGAAACGAGACCGAAGACCCTGGGTTCGAATCCCGCGAGCGGGATGGTGAATGCGCACTACTGAGGAGCCCCACAATAAGACGAAACGGCCGTCCAGTGCTTCCAGGTTTCCAAATGTGGTCTAACATCAATCATTTCATGATCTCAATCAAAAACTTAATAATCTCCACAACCCCTATACTAGTAAATAAGTTTTCCCAATAGAAATTGGTTCAGTCTTTCTGAATTATCTACGATTAAGTGAATAAAAGTGACAATTCTCTCTTGTTCGACTTTTGCTCTAGACGCTAGTAGCGAATGAAGAAATCTCTCAAAGGTATACATATCAGAATGGAACATGGAGTGAATAATACCTGAATTTTCAGAGAATTCACCCAATACGTTATAAAAACATTTTACCACAAGGCTAGAATGTTAGGCGAGACTCTAATTTCTGGACGAGCCGATCAGAGGCGTTTTAGAGATTTTCAGGTTATGGCTCCGACTTCAGTGCTTAATGCTAGCGTACGTTCGGTTCACAGGGAATTTTGTAAAAAGCGTGATAATTGAGCGACTATAACAAATAAAAAAGGCGTGACTATAATTTATGGACGAATCAATCAAGTATAAGATAATAGATCTCAGATTTTAACTCGAAAGCCTTTCAACCATTTGATTACATAAAGTTCTGGCATTATAGTTGACGTCAGTTCGTGATGAAAACCCCATATATAATTCCTAACTAAGGCAAATTACGACAATTATTGCGAGCTGGATAATAAAATCACCAGTAACATTGGCTGCAGCCAGGTACTACATTATATGCGGGTGATTTTAAAGTGTACATCGTGTAGTTATCCACATGTGGCATTTTGCGTACTCAACAACCGGAGTGCACATAAACAATATTGAAGCTATGTGGTTGAGGCTGAAATAGTTTTTGAGACTTTATCGTGGCTCCAAAGGCCGACTATTCTGTAGCCATATGGATGATCTCCTCTACTGAATCCATTACGATTTTAGGACCTCTGAACCTCTTTCTACCCTTGACAAGTTTTTGAACCACGTATAAGAAGTATATATATTTCATTGGTTTTGTATAACATTTTTTTCCTCTATACCGTCTGTTTGCTATTTGGCTAATATTTCTCAAGTTCACTTAAGATTCGTTCAAAGGTAGTCCATAAATTAGAGTCTCGCCGAATGTTATACTCATCAATAGTTAGAGAAAGATTGTGTAATTATCAATTACTACCTTCAAGAAAATGGATGTCCATAACCGTTTATAATGAAGTATAATACTGAACCAACTAGAAAAGAAATATTTATATCTAGTTGACGTTCAAAAGTGATCGAAATATCAATAAAGTCAATCAAAGATCAAAAGTAGCTTCAAAGAAAAAAAAATTCCTGCTACGAAAATGTTTCCTCTGTATTCAACACGATGTTCAATAATACAAATAAAAATCAGCATTCACAAATATTACCTTCAATTGTTTATATCAGTTCACATACACATACAATATCATATATATTATTGAAATGACAAAAAGACTAACAGCTATGTTTTTTGTTGAGTATATTCCGACGGACTTAAACCTTTACAGGTTGATAACACGACAATTACTTGACATGGGACATATATTGAATGCAATGAATCCATTTAAAATAATACAGTATCATATTATCTAATCAACATTGTATTCATTAACATGAAAATTATTATTATTCTATAAACATACTGGAAGAGAATCTGGCACACAGACAACATGTGATACATAATAAAGGATAATTGAGTAGTACACATGGTATAGTGCATGATGTTTAGCAATTTTAACGGTATATAACATTGAACATTACATATCTCAAATGGTTTGCTCTAATTAACTGACAATATTGTGAAATTTAATTTTCTTTTTAAAGTAGTTTATTGAGGATAGGAAAAAAAAGTGGAATTGGAGTAAAGTACAAGACTAGTTTTTGTTAAGCGATTAAACATTTTCTTATGGTATATTTACTTCTTAGGGATTTATTAATGCGTTTATTTGGAATGTAGGGTATTTTAATAAAATCTGCATTGAATTGATATGAGAACAAAGTATTATACTTTTCTCTCCCATACTTACAGGGTTCAATTGATCTTCCTATTGATGTCTAGGATTATAATTGATCATTCTCATATTGGCATATGTACATTTTATGAGGATTGTGACTCGATATTGCCTGGATCCTATTGCTTGTCACAATCCATCTCTGCTTATATTGCTTGTTTGAAGCGAACGGTACTGGGTTCGAGTGCCGGAATGAACACCAACTCTGGGATGCAGGTGTATCTGGCCAACAAGTCCCAAATACGACAAAACGCAAGTTCTAGAGTACATTATTAGACACCATCCATCTTTGCTTATAATTACAAGGTTCAAGTTATATTTTCTGCTAGAATAATACTTATGTTTTAAAATTAAAATGTACACAAGTTAGAGACTCGAAATTATCATGCGGTCATCAATGATTAGTCTCAACATAAATTTCTGTCAAATTTTCAATGGTATAATACAACCAATGAAGTCAACTATGATTACAATGAATACATGGATTAAAGATCGTGTGATATTACAGATAATCCAGATTTGGAAATAGGACCAAATGAATCCAAACTCTGTTGGTTAAATGTATCATATATACCATGAAACCGGATCACATATGTTACTGGTTTAATTCTCTTGAAATATTTATACAATCAATCCATTCAGCCCAAGAAATAAATTATCATCAAGCATTAATTTACAGGTGTTAAATGATACCTGTTCCTATGCTCCTCCACTAGGGGTAACAGGCGTCAGTAAAGTAAATTAATTTACAGCTTACTACGATTTACAAAATATTTGTAAATTTGAAATGTTTGAAACATGTTATAAGAAAAAGTCTCGAAATATTTCACCTTGAAATTTGAACATTACTTAATTACCAAGATAACCATTCAAATCAAGGAACTTGTTATTAATTCTGTTTTATTCCAGGAGATCACAGATACATCTAATGAAGACTAGCAATTTCAGATAAAAATGATTAAATAGACGCGCGAGTTTCAAAAAGGGCAGTGATTTTGTACTTGTGATTATCCTTACCTTTGTATAATTATCACATCAAAAGCATTCTTGGTCCACTTTATATTAAAGTACTTTAGTTAAGGTTTGAAATCTTGCTAAAGTTTGTCTTGTGGTACCCTTACACTCATTGACTGACACTTGTGTTCATATTGTGGCCACATTATGTTTTAAACCATAATCTGATTACAATGCTTGGTAGTACTCATAAATATGGACAACCAAACTGTTTGCTCCCTGTGGAGGAAGAAATGCAGTATAATGAGTGCAAAAAGTGATTCCATAAGATGTGTACCCGTTTAAGTCCTACGACATACAAAAGATGCTCGAAGCCTAACTCGCATTGGCTTTGCATGTTTTGCTGTGCAAATAAGACGTTACTGATGCAGGAGGCTATGAGCCTATCGGCTTTGGCCTGTAGGAAAAACGATGGCGGTTGCGCCGATAACACGAGCACTGACGGTAAAGAATGTGTCAGTGTAGTACGTGCTGTTACGAGACACCTCAAACACCCGACTGTGACTGATGGAAAAGTGAACTCTCCGTTAACAATAACGAGGATGGAAGTACCACCTGACATTGACATTTGTAATCATGTACCTCTGGTGGGAATTGAAGATCTGGATAAAACCGTTACCGTTCCAAATAGTCCCGGTGTCCTGAGGGATGAAAAATGGACTACAGTACGGGAAAACGAAACGAAAAGAAAAAAGCTGTAGGCAGTACCCAGCTAGTTAGCATGTCACTATACAATATGTGGATTCGTGCTACCCAAAGTAAGAAACTATAAAGATTTAGAAGTCATATTAAGCAGTGATCTTAAAACCACTAGTCACTGCAAGGCTGCTGCTGAGAAAGGCCATAGGGTATTATGGTCTATTCGTAGGTCTTTCCAGTATTTAGATGACGAAATATTTAAATTATTATATTCAATTTATGTGCGACCACATTTAGAATATGGGATTCAAGCAGCGAGTCCTTGTTTCAAGTATGAGGTTGATATGCTTGAAAAAGTCCAACGACGAGGTACTAAGATGGTACTAAGATGAACTATCTTATGAAGAAAGACTGAAACACCTTAACTTAATTCCGTTATCTTACCGTAGAATACGGGGTGATCAAATATTGGCTTATCGTATACTGAACGATAACCTTGGTATCAACAAGTCTTATCTTTTACTTCCGTCTAATCATTTGAGAGGACATTCGAAGAAAGTTCAAAAACCGAGATCAAATCGTTTACGTCTAGAGTTTCGTTTCTCGCACCGACTATTGAATTACTGGAATTCTCTACCAAAGCATGTAATATCAGCACCTTCTGTTGATATATTCAAAACGAGATTTTACCTCGACATTACTACAAACATCAAGGACCAATATAAGTCGAAAGACCTCCCATCCTTATCACTGAAGACTGAACTGTGGATTGGAGAATGCTGGTCGGCGGTTTATGCTTCATTGGGAGTAACAGGCGTAAATAAGTAAATAAGTATGTATGATTAGGTAATTGACCTGTACGCTTTCAAATCTCATCTAGATGTGATCAGATCATAAATATTTCCCTTTTTAAATTCATCTAATTGATAAACAGATAAGAGTATTCTTCTATCTATTGTAAATTAGATAAAAAGAGCCATTACTTACTACCTGAAAGATGAATATAAATATAGAATTTTTATTAGATAATGAAAAAATGTTAATCATTATATACATTCAATGTAAAACTCTGATATATATTCATAAATCGTATACTAATAACCATGTGATCCCATAGTTTCTTTCTAAGCAAAATTTACTACTACTCATGTGTTCATTTATTTAATTATCATGATTATTTATATAAGGTCAATAGGCTTATTTAGAAGAAGAAGAAGAAGAAGAAGAAGAAGAAGAAGAAAAAACACCCAATAAACTAACTATTGTATATATAAGTAGATGGATACAAATTCTATTTAGAGAATCAGTTAGTTATTACTAGAATAATCATTACAAAGTTTATTAGTTTTTATCATCTTTTGTGAATTGTTTCTTATATATTATGACAACATTAAATAGAGCCATTGTAAAAACTAGTAATCTACCAGCTAATATGCAAGATGATGCAGTTAAACAATGTTTAAAAGCAATGTTAACATGTCGACATGATAAAGATATAGCTGCTTATTTACGAAATCAATTCAATCAAAAATATGGACGTACATGGCATTGTATTGTTGGAGGCAGCTTCGGAAGGTAAATTCTTTATATATATATATATTCCATTTGATTGACTGTGGATTAGTTGAAGTTAGACATTAACACCGTTGGATGTTGTCTCAGTAGTCTAGTTGGTTGAGCGCCTGTCGTGAGACTGATAGGTCCTGGGTTCGAATCGTGGATGCGCACTGCTGAAGAGTCCTACAATAGGACGAAACGGTCTTCCAGTGCTTCCAGGTTTTCCATGGTGGTCTAGCTTCAATTGACTCATGATTTCAACTGTTGAAATTACTACAATCTCCACAAAACCCCTTCTGGCTCTAAAAAGTTTAAAACATTATGAAGACATATTAATGTATTCACTTTTACACAACTGATTAAATCATAATTCGTTTAATTCATTGTTTGATTAACCTTCTTTTTTTGAGTACATGGTTAATATAATAAATATTCACAGTGAGCAACAATAAATTCTATCGGAACCAGGGAATAACTTTCAGAAAATTCACTGAATATATAAAAGGTTTCATATTGAAATTAAGGGTCAGTATAAAATAACTTATTACAAGTAAACAAGAGTTTTAATAAGTAATATGAATAAAATAAAAGGGTCGAACCATTATAAACCTACATTGTTTATGATAAAAAATTTGCGTAATCTCTTGGATTTTTCAATCTCTAGTGAATTGTCTAAATGAATTTGAAACAAATAAGTGAGGGAGAGAGAGGTAGAGAGATAGAGAGAGAGTCGTTTATACCCACTATTCTAGAAAAATCATGAAACAACAATACAGCTAAAGAGCCTGTCCTCCAATAGTTTCCAATGATAATTTGAGTAACATAAACAAAGATAAGACAGTTTTATCATTACAAATCAAGAGTAGTTTTTGAAGGGAACAAAGTTTGTGTACCATGTGTTCACTGATTTATATTTTGATAAATTTCCTTAACATACATTTATTTCTATAGTGAAAATTCCCATTTTACCATTTGGTAAATAAAGAAGGAACGAACTGAGCATTTGTCATCGCCATTTATCTACTTCAACGATATGTTATTATCGATTTAATCCTTCGTTTTGGTGATTCGGTTTTCCACAGATTTTTTCTCCAAAATCGTCTTGTAACTGTATTCATTTAAAGTAATAAGTAAATTTTCACAAAGAGTAGATTATTAGTTAACCTATTCTGTTTAATTACAATGGTTGTGTTCATTGATTAGTTATACTACTAAAATCATCGAAAGCTTTCCTTTTTGCAAGACAATCAATATTTTATGCTTGTTTAATTATAATTTATTTGTTAAAGTATATTATATTAGGCAATAGATTTGGGTTCTACGTTGTAGTTGATTAACTGACTGAGGTCAACTACTTCATTAAGTTTAGATATGTTATTGGTCAGTTATTAAAAAAATTACTGGAAATAACACATTTTAGCTGTGAAAATAATAATAATAATGTGAACACAAAGCGAAGCCTAATCACTCTGGATAATAAGTCAATATTACCAGGGTAGGTTTAAGGTATGAACAAACTGTTTTTGAACACATAAAGGGGATTTGAATTTTCGTATGGCTAAGGCTTCAATAAACCTTAGTATACGCCCTCTTACACTTTTATACAACACTACAAAAGCTGAATTTAGATAAATCTTGTGACCTGTTTCAATTATATGTTTAGCAATAGAGGATGATGGATGTTTATCCTCTGCTCTTATTGGGTCACTTGATTACATTTGTTTCTGAAGCCATTTGGGTACATGTTCACTCACCCTAATGTTGAGATCACGATTACTCCTCCCTATGTATGTGTGACCACACACACATTTAAATTGGTAAACACAGTGGGATGTGACGCAATCGTTTCCATGTACTTTAGGTTTTGAATGAAGCATGCACCTTGTTCTTTCTTTGATGATGACCTTTGCTGCGCAATAGATTTTATTGATGACTGATTTAAGTCGTTGTTTCAATAAAAGGCTATTTGAATCACCTCTGAATGGTAAGGTGATGTAGACAGGCTTTTTCTCTACCGAGGCTACAGTAGGTCTCGCTGTACCATGGACTTTCCATCTATTTATGAATTTCAGAGGATAGCCATTTCCTCTTACCCCGTTTCCTGTCTAGTTGACCTTTTATTTTTATATTTAAACTTGGATTAATTTTGATTTGTTTATTTATTCTTTGAAGAAGTGGAATACATTGAGTCATGAAACATTGGAAAATCTAATTTTTCTACTTATTGGGATATTACTTAAACAACATGAAGTAATTTAGTATATGATAAACTTAGTTTTATACCTATGCAAACTACAGTCTTACATTCATTTTATAGATTATCTATTTGCTATTTAAAAAACCAAAACGTGGATATTCATTTTTATATTAGTTACTTGAATTCTCCCATTGATGCAGGTACGTCTAGTTGACAAGTCTCATATAGGATTCTACTACTAATACTACTACTGCTCTAGTGAACATAAAACGAGTTGGGACAATTCAATGTATTTAACACAAAATTTACAGGACTTGTTAATAAAATCTAACAATCATATAATAAATGCTTAATTTACAAAATATCCATCAATTGTCTCAAAATGACTCTGACTTCATTGTTCTTGAATGTCCATACAAATTGCATTCTGTTTCCATTCTTTACTGTTCGATCCTTTTGTTTCTCTGTTGCCAGATATTCTGTTCACGATTAATATCATATCCTACTTATGTCAATATAAGTAGCACACATCACACTACTACTAGCCACTATCATCTCAGTTTGTAAAACATTGAGTATATTTATAAATTATTAAAGACTTACATCACAATTGTATTGTTTGTTTCTAACTTTTAGTAATGTTAGTCATGTGGAAACTGGATTGATTTATTTCTTATTGGGACGAAAATCTATTCTTCTATTCAGATCAGAAAACATTAATTGAAGATGTTAATCTATGTTGAATATTGTATTGAGTACATAAAGTTAGTGATGTACTTTAATTGGATTTTTATTTAGCAAAAGTTATTTAATTATCAACAAATACAACTTATATGAGAATTTATCTTCTTTCATGTCATTTTCATCAAATTAAACGAGTGTCATTCAATTGGTTTATGCTAAAATATAAAAGTTTTTTATGGAATATGTTCATATTATGAAGGTAGGTAACTGAAATGGATAAGTTTGTGTAGTGTGCTCCAAATCAAAATTATTAACTAGCAGTATGGGGGTTGTGGAGATTGTTACGTTTTTTGGTTGAGATCATGAATTAATTGATGTTAGACCACCGTTGGAAACCTGGAAGCACTGGACGGCCGTTTCGTCATAGTATGGGACTCCTCAGCAGTGCGCATCCACGATCCCGCACTCCGCGGGATTCGAACCCAGGACCTACTGGCTTCGAGCGTGGGCACTTAATCATTAAACCACTGATCTCAACCAAAAAACTTAACAATCTCCACAACCCCCATACTGATAATTAACATGTGCTCACTAGTGACTAGCTTCGTGAGGGAATTCTCGGAGTTCTAGTGAGAAGTCGTGACCAGTGGAGCTAATCCATGTCGGGTGGAGACAGGTATCTACCTTAGTACAATGGAAGATGGTCGTGCAATTTCGTGGATTGGTTGATGTTAGACACTAACACCATTGGATGCCGGCTCAGTGGTCTAATGGTTAAGTGCTCAGGCGCGAAGCCAGTAGGTCCCGGGTTCGAATCCCGCGGGGTGCGGGATCGTGGATGCGCACTGCTGAGGAGTCCCATACTATGACGAAACGGCCGTCCAGTGCTTCCAGGTTTCCAACGGTGGTCTAACATCAATCGGTTCATGATCTCAACCAAAATTATTAAGTTACCTCCTTTCAGAACTCTTTCAGGATGACAGGTCACTACTTGATTAACTAAGAAAATATTTATGAGATAAACTATTGATGGCAATGTACAAGTGTATTAGGTGAAATAAACTCATTCTTAATTAAAATATTTTTTTTACAAATCGTTTAACCGCTAGAACAATTGAATCCTGGTCGCCGTCAATTCTGAAAACGTTAATCCTGTTAAATTACTTTTAAAAATTGTGTACATGTACCTAAACTTGCAAGATGCCAAACAACATTTTGAGTAAAAGAAAAGTCAATGTTACTTTTCTTTTATTTAGTAGTCGAATATTAAAATCACAAAGGAAATCGTTTGACAGTTCTTACACAGTTAAATTCACGAATCGATCTAAGCTAGACCACCATTAAAAACCTGAAAGCACAACACAATCGCTTCGTACTAGTATGCGCATTCACGATCCTACATGTGTGACTTGAAGCCAAGACCTTCGATCTCGCATACGAACGCTTAGCTTCTAGACCATTGATTGATAGTTTAACATACAACAGTCTGGTGACACTGTTATCTGTTATACTGTAAATACAAGGTTAATTGAGAAATTCTAAGGTTTATCACAGATGGAACGATAAAAACAAAAATTGATCGTTTATATTCATACACTCTAATGTTCATTCCAAAAAAAAATAAAAAATAAAAGTTATCGTACAGGATTACCAAATGTTTTTCAGCAGAAAGTCCCATCATTTAACCAATTTATCAAGTTGATGACACGATGTGGCTTGAAATGATTGGTAATTAGTTGGTATGTTAGTGAGGATGACAGTGTTAGAATGTAATCACATTAAATAACATGTTTGAGAGATTTGGGAAATTGATCGTATGCACATGAATCTGGGTGACATTGGCAGGTAGATTACTAAAACTGTGAAATATCACTTATTAAGGTGCTTGGGAGATATGTCATTCAACTAACATTGCATCTAAGTTATATATTAGTTATCTGGAGTGGGTTGATAGAAGGTTGGGGTCGGCCATAATAAATCATGACGATAACCTATGATATCATTGAATTTAAAAGTTACACCAGTCTGAAAATATCCTGCTTAGGTTCCATGAGATATATATTTTTATGCATTGCGTTCTCTGGAGAATGAATTGTTGTGGGCAATAGTTCTCTGAAGTTTAAATAGAATATAAGACTTAATATCTGTAAAATCTTCGAACCAACGTATTGTTGGTGAGTGAATGAATTGGAAAAAAATGTATATTTCAGTGTAGTTCCAATACATTATGTAATGTTTTAGATACTACTACGAGGCACTAGTTGTTGGGGAGTGTAGTGAATTTCTTTTTCGTACCACAAAAGGTTTTTTTCTGCAAAAAGTCAATATTCTACTACCTATATTATTATTTTAAAATTAATAACACATACATAGGACGTTATGTCCGGATAGAACTACATCATATTCCATCACAACCAATTTGGGTATAGTACCAGCCATAAAGTTAAATAATTACCAACTTTATGATAATCACATTTCATACTGTTAAGGAATGTCCACTGAAGTACATTTTAGTTCTTCTACAACGATTAGTTATCTCAATACTTTCAAAGAAAATAGTTACTTTTTTGTCATTTAAAGACTTGCTCATATAGAAAAACTCTTTGGTTACGAACTGATATCGATGAACTATAATTTGGTAGCTCATATTTCTTATTACGGTCAACCGTCTGTACAAATTGGCAATTATTTAATGTCACCGACAAATAAACATTTATAAAAATTATACTGAATAGTCTTATAAGTGGTATTAGCATTGACCGATCAGTGAGTAGCGGTCAGTATTATATTTTCCTAGCCATTTAGTGATGATCAGATTAAATCAATTAAGTTATCATGTGGCCAGCAGCCCAAGTGATTTAACGTCGAATACACTGTTTTTATGTTAGATAATTAGAAACAGTCTTCATGAAATTTTGGACCTAGATTTTGAGTTACTTGGTTCTCATCAAAAAGAAATATTTGTGTTGATTGCCTGACGATCATGAACTCGATCATTACATTGTGGTTAATCAACTATAAATATTTCAATCTCACAAATGATCACTCTTATCCCGAATAGCTCTATAATAATTTCTTAAACTCTAAGATCGAATAATAAAGGCTTGAATCCTCCACACACCCCAAAGATCATCGGTTTTTTTATTGATCTAAATAGTATTTACCAAAAACTTAATTTGAGAATAGTTTAGGTATAATTTATTAGGATTAAAGAATCTAATAATAACTTCATTAGTTAGTTGCTACGTGATCACAAGAAACTATCTTTTAGTTGAAATAAAAAAAATCCAAAATCATTATTATTTTCCATGTAAATTGTAGCGGTTACCGGTAATAAGCTTTCAAATTGACTATTATCATTGTTTATGTTAAAATGGAGATACTTTATTATTATTATTATTACTATTATTATTATTATTATTATTATTATTATTATTATTATTATTATTATTATTATTCAAAACAACGTAATTTTCTGTTGTTAGTAGATTGTAACTACTATAACTTCTATATTTAGTTAAATTAAAAGAGTAATTGTGTTATATTTTATGAACTATGATTAATAACCAAACGTTTAATGAATCTCTTTAGAAACTCCTATCTATATCTTTCGATGTGAATATAAATATATTTAAACAAAATAAAAATGTTGAACAAAAACATACTACAGTTTAGGTTAAGTTTTGAATGAATAACTTATACATTAAAGGTAAATGTTAATCAGTTAGGAGGCTTAGACTATCTTGGTACATAATATTGAAGTTATATTTATTATCAGTAGAGATGTTTGTGGAGATTTTAGTAATTCTATGGTTGATTTTATGAGTCAGTTGAAGCTAGACCACCATGAAAAACCTGGAAGCACTGGATGGCCATTTCGTCATAGAGTGGAACTCCTCAGCAGTGCGCATCCACGATGCCGTCCTCCGCGAGATTCGAATCTAGGACCTATTGTGGTGTGTGCTACTTATATTGACATAAGTAGGATATGATGTTAGTTGTGAACAGAATATCTGGCAACAGAGAAACAAAAGGATCGAACAGTAAAGAATGGAAACAGAATGCAATTTGTATGAACATTCAAGAACAATGAAGTCAGAGTCATTTTGAGACAATTGATGGACATTTTGTAAATTAAGCATTTATTATATGATTGTTAGATTTTATTAATAAGTCCTGTAATTTTGTGACAAATACATTCGATTGTCCCCACTGGTGTTCTTGTTCACTACATTTGGTGTCGCTGACAACTAGGAGGGGAGAGGTGCTGTTTTGCGAATGCCGTTGCGGGCCTGAAACTGAGGTGCTGGTTGAGGCAGTCTGATGCGGGGAGGTGGCGTCTAGTGGAGTGTTCTGGTGGGGCGACGTTGGCTGTAGAGGGTGCCGTCGACGGACAGGAGTAATAAATAAGAGTCCCACTTTAATAAAAATTAATCGAAGGTATTCGCCTTTGTCTTCGTCACTTTCCGGAATCATACACCACATCATATTATTGTTTGTACTAAAACCTTAACAGTTTATCAGTAAAGGGCTGTGGAGATTATTAAATTTTTGATTGAGGTCATGAACCGGTTGATGTTAGATCAACGTTCAAAACCTGGAAGCGCTGGATGGCGTATTCGTCCTATTGTGGGACTCCTCAGTAGTGCGCACCCACGATCCTGTTCATGGGACCTGAAGCCAGTTCCTTCAGTCTCGCATGCAAAGGCATAAACTCTAAACCACTGAGCCGGCATCAAACCGTGTTAATGTTTAGCCTCAACGAATCCCGTGGACATGATCGTGGATGTTCACTGCCGAGGAGTCCCACAATAGGACGAAACGGCCGTCCAGCGCTTCCAGGTTTTCATTGTTGATCCAACATCAATCGGTTCATGATCTCAATCAAAAACCTATCAGTTTAACTACTTAAATAAATCAGATATTATTTCTCATGTAATCAGTATACCTTCATTTAAAATCTAATTTGGATCTTATTTTAGCTTCAAACTATAGAATAGTAACTATTACGCTTAAACTAAATGGAGTGAAAATAATTCGAATTTCATAGAATAGAATGTGAGAACATGACCTATATTTTACTGATCTGTGAAGCATACAAAACCATAGAGAAGGAAATTACCTCATACAACCGATAAAAGTTAATTTTCAATT